GATCGAGATACTTGCCTTTGCGGATGATGTCACTGTAATGGTAGCCTTCAAACGCAAGGTCAAAATCCCGGTCGTAACGATCCGTGGTATTTGTGAAGCAAGTCTTCGAGACGCCCTCCGGCCTACGAAGCTGGAGATGGATCCAGCCAAATCTCAGTCCCTTTCCAGTATGGGTCTACAGTATGAGAGGAATAGCATAGAGATGAAGATGTTAGGAGTGTGGATTACTCGCAGCGGTTCGTGGAAGAAGCACATCATAGAGAGAGTAGACAAAGCCAAAAAGATTGGATTTGCCCTAGCAAGATATGCAAGAAGATCCTTCGGGGTGAAGCCCTCTTGCATAGTTGATCTGTACCACAGGATCATGCTCCCAACGGTAGGCTTTTCCATAGAACTTTGGGGTCCAGCTCTAGCAAACGCCAGCTACAAGCGTATTGTTGACCAGCTAGGAAATCTCGTATTGCGGGTCGCTTTTCGTTTGGGGAAGAGCTTCCCACAGCATCTGGCCAGAACCCTCGCTAGCCTCGAGCCGACATCGGTGGCGCTCACAAACATCGCGGTAGAGAGATACCTGCATAAAGAAACCCGACTAGGGCCAGGGAACAACGTGTTGCAGAGGAAATGGGAGGAAGAGCTACGGGCACGAGGTCTAAACTTGAGCGCCAGGTACGAGCGAGTGGGTAGTATTAGGGCCCATGACATGGGAGGAGCGGAGGTGATCATAAAAGAGAAAAGTGAGGCTATAAAGCTCGAACAGTCTCTCAGAGAAGGGGTCAGGGTGTACACAGACGGATCTCGCAAGGATCCTGACGAAGCTGGAACCTGCTCAGTTGGTGCGGCAGCGATTATATACAAACACAGCAATAAAGAGGCCCATCGTTTCCGGCTGCCACCTTTCGCAACCATTTATCAAGCGGAGCAATATGCTATAATTGGAGCGTTGGAAGCCCTCAAGAAAGACAAAGAGGTGGCAGACGGAAGTAGAGTTCTCTTTTTCTCGGACTGTAGGTCAGTGCTGCAACGCATACTCGGGGGAGGAGGGGATCACTGGTCAAACAGGATCTTGGAGATAGCAAGCTCTATGAGAGTTGAGGGTATCACCTGCTGCTTCATATGGATCCCATCGCACCAGCAAGACGGTACCATTCCTGGGAATGAGGAAGCCGATCTTGAAGCAAACAGAGCGAGACTGTTGGAGCTGGATGGCGTTGTTTCGGATTTCCCGATACCCATCGCACATACGAAAGGCTTGCTGAACAATTACGCGAGAGCTCAGGTAGTCCGGGAGGCTGCGAGCATCTCAAACCCAGAGCTCAGGGCTATGCTGAGTTCCCGCAGACAACGGGGTATTGTCGAGAGGCAGCTAAGATCCTATAAGGATGGTAGTGTCCTCAACTTACTGGCGGGACATTCGAAGATCCTGCGTTCCTATCTGGCCAAGATTAAACCGGATGCCTATGATCCCCTTTGTCAGACATGCGGGGTCACGCACAACTTGGTTCATGTAGTAAGGTGGTGTCCTAGGTATCAGGAGGATCGGCCGCCGTGGTTTGTGGGTGGCCTGGGGTCTGTCTCTATCACCTCGGCTCGCTTCCGAGACTTCATAAAGTTCCTTGAAGTAATCGTCAACAAAGCGGACTCGGACAATTCTCAAATAGCCTCATAGACAGCGACTTGATTCCTTATACGAAGGAGCGATTCCTTAGTGTTTAATTGTCACTTTTCGTGTATTTTTTGTCACAACGTGTAAAAAAAAAAGAAAAAAAAAAGAAAAAAGAAAAGAAAAAGAAAAAGAAAAAAAAAGAAAAAGAAAAAGAAAAAAAAAGAAGAAAAAAGAAAAGAAAAAAAAATATATATATATATATATAAAAAAAGAGGAAGACAGGTGAAACGTGCAGGCTTTTGATGAGTGCGACCCGACTGAGTCAAATCCTGTATAAAACCCCCTAGGGTTGACAGGAAGAAGCCAACAACAACAACAACAACAACAACTACTACTGCTACTACTACTACTACTACTACTACTACTGCTACTGCTACTGCTACTACTACTACTACAACAACGATATACAGTCTAAAGCATAGATTAGATAGGATTAGACAAAAGTGCGGTATCGACGATGACGACGACACTCTTTGTGGTGAGACGTGATTAATCTTTGAATAATAAGACTTTGCAAGGACATTACCAGTTGTGCAATGGAGAATGCCATTACTGCGGTCGTGTTGGTGAATATTATTATTATGCATTGTATTATACTACGCATAAGTAACGATATTGATTCCGCCTTGTTCCGTATCTACATTATTATTAATCATCATCATTTGTTATTGTATTGGTCGTAGTCGTAGTCGTTATTATTACACTAGGATCAGGTGGTGTTGACGATATTATTATGGGTCGTTGTAGTCTCCTAATCTTATTGTAATTATATCCACATATACGACTTGCTAGATATGGTTCTGCTCTTGCCTCAATACATACTGCTAATGCTATTATAACATAAGGTATCCACAAGTATCGTCGTCCTTGTGATGACAATGATGATGATGATAAGGTTGATATATCATTATTAGTAATGAGTGTTATGTACCATATAATACATAGTATCTAAATATATAATAATACCACATCAACATCGTTACTATTATTATTACTGGTGTAGTAAGATATGTGATCATAACTCCCCAATGAGCAGTATTATGTATTGACGACACTACTGCTGATGATGATGATGATGCTATGGCACCATCCTTATTATTATTAATAGTAGTAGTAGTAGCAGCACGTTGATATGCCCTTCTGATAACCTCTTTTAAGAAGAATGTTGCAAAGTTGAGTAAACTTTGTAGAGATACTGACCTGTTCATGGTGATATATTATCTCATTATTCATATTATTATTATTACATTATACCAAAATCAGTCATACTGCTGTATCGTGTTGCTAGTAGTGTACAAGCAAAACTTATTATCCTAGTTATTATAGAAATCATAAGGGATCCGCTTATCGCACCAAATACACCATGAAAGTTAGCTCTAGTACTAGTATTAGCAGTTGAGCTCTGCTCCTTCTCATTCTTCTTCTTCTTCTTCTCTTTATCAACAAACTCAATACATGATGGCTGCTGCTGCTGCTGCTGCTTTCCACCTTGAAAGGTTAAGGATGGCCTTGCTACTACATCATTATGCCGTACTTGCATTAAAGGAGGTAGGATTAACTGATTAAGATTGAATAATAAACCAAAGTAGTAGTAGGATACACTAACGGATACTGCACCAACTGTATCGAATAATATATTCTATGCAGTGTGATAGTGATACTCACCACTTCTTGTGTGACGTAATTTGTTATTATTATTATTCACTCATTAGATATTGTTATTGATGTTATCGATGTTTAATACATTAACACTAGAGCTATCTAATATACTGAGGCTACTTATTAGTTAATATTACTGGTATAATCATCAACACAAGTCCAATTAAGTTATCAAAAACTAATAACAATGCCATCATAATCATCATCATCATCATCATCTTGATAATAATCACATGATGATGAAGATGATCATCCTACTTATACATCTCACCATATCTGATCTCTGTAATTTTAGACGACTTACGCATCATGATCATCTTAGTAGGATCTAAACAATGAATATAATTATTATTAATGTTAGTAATATGATGTTGACCTAGACCCTTCCTCTTAAAATATTCATTAGCAGCAGTATCAATATTATCAACATATACTGGTTGATTAATAGTACGAGATTTGCTACGACCATACCTACAGGAAACTAGTGTTTTTAATAATACCTAGTAGTAGAAGTAAGCTTACAATAAGAATGCTGATATAGCAGCTACATCTTGTGGTATAAACCAAATACCAGCAGCTAGAGTACATTGCCAGAGTAAGGAATCATAACGTAACATCATCTTAGGTAATGATGATACCTTAGTAGTGGTAGTACTCATCATACGATGTCTAGTATGATGATAAAATGATAAGCAGCAGGAGGAGAAGGAGGACATGATCATCATCATCAATAATAATCTAGAGCAACGCAATGTTTCATAGCACGCACGACGTTACTATTATCATCAACTTGCTATCTTGCTACCTTTACAACAATGTCGACGACGACGACGACGACGATGGCGGCGGCAGCGTTTAGTTGACTTCAGTTTCACAGCTTCCCTAGTGTGAATTGAAGTACTGTAATAGGTCGTGGTATATGTCGTAGGTACGTCGGAGGACCTCTATAGTATAATAGCCATGTGTTCGGGGCTCTTATTACGGTAACTTAGCTAGAATGTAGTATGTCTTAAAGTAACACATCATCATTCGGAGACGACAAACCTTATTCTTTGATACCCATGGTGGCATAATGACGAGGATCATGATTAAATAGTAGTATAGTATTCCTGCCGCCGCAAGGACATCATTACATTCGGATTATGTCGCATTACTACCGACTGCTAGTGGTTGACGACGTAATATACTACGGCTTATACCTAGTACACACTGCGACAAACGAGTAAAGTCGACCATACTACCAACATACCAACAGGATCAACCTGCACACGATCGTCGACCCTATTCTAGGACTACTTATGCCCTACATACTTTTGCCCGATTATCAGCTGTATTACCGCCTACGGAATGCTCCTATTAACCCTCTACGTGCCTGACGTGCCGGTAGGCTCAATATCTATGCCAGCAAGGAGTCGATGCAGTTATTAGCATTGAGCAACTTAACAACTCCCTCGCTGCTGTACGTCATCATCATCATTTACCCGTCACATAATCCTTTAATATTCTATATCTACCCACACTCTTCCCTTTCTCATTCGTTGCTTTCGTCGGGAGCCTCTCACAATCATCGGAGTCGGCATGTTTAAGGGCTATAGGCCGCTAGTAATGCCCGGCAACAAATCCACACACACAGTCTCTCCTTGGGCCCCCATAATACAGTGTCCGGGCTGGATGATGATGATAATGCCATCATGTGAAGGTTGGATGATGATGATAATGCCATTATGTGAAGGTTGGATGATGATGATAATGCCATTATGTGAAGGTTGGATGATGATGATAATGCCATTATGTGAAGGTTGGATGATGATGATAATGCCATTATGTGAAGGTTGGATGATGATGATAATGCCATTATGTGAAGGTTGGATGATGATGATAATGCCATTATGTGAAGGTTGGATGATGATGATAATGCCATTATGTGAAGGTTGGATGATGATGATAATGCCATTATGTGAAGGTTGGTGTTTCTTATGCCCGTATACTTTCAAAGAGGGTTCATCGGAGAATTCTTGGTTTGCGTGTGTGTGATGTTTGATGATACTCTCACGGTCCATACTAATTGTGTAGTAGAGTTTCACCCCCGCATGGAAAACACCAGTGAAAAAACATATTTCACGACCACTGCATACCGCGAATACCGCGTTTTCCACCGAGCCTTGCGCTACAGTGGCGTACAACTCGTAACAGTGGCGTCGCCACTTTACGTTAAACGAGTGAAACTTCAGTATTTTTGACGATGGATACCTTCTTTCTTCACGCCAAAAGCATCTCGAGCATTTCTAGAGGAAAAATCTTCGTGGATGGTTCGCGAAGTTTAGGGAATTGATGCAGCTGTTAGTGAGTCGTGTTGGTAATCTAAAGTAGGTCGCAGTATCGATCCTACCCAGTGAGAACAGTTCTCTGTTTTCGGTATATTCCACGGTGTCCGACATCCACGAAGTCTGGACATGTTACGCTATTCGGAGACGCTATCGCTATGGATGTATAACTACCATCAGCAGCTCGAGGCTATCATACAGCAATAAACCCTAGTCTTTATCATTATCAACACCATGCTCAATTCACTGTCGCGTCTCCCTACTACTGTTGTTGTTAAACACAATAAGCTTATGAGAGTATATCATAAGAATCACTGGATAAGTGGTGTCTTAGATGATTTATTATTATTATGAAACAATCTCTTTTTGAATCGTAGTAATACCACTGATTCCACATCATCCCTATTACTCAATACATTATTATCTGCATTGGGTAGTATTGTATTAAATATACATTTAATCTTACCACTCTTACCAAAAGATGAATCGATAATACCAGTAATACCAGAAGATTTATGTATAACTTTAAGACCCAGGAATGATGTTAAATCAGTATCCTTCTTGAACATATTACGCACTATATAAGTGTTACATGTTGTTGTTGATGATGATGATGGTACATATCTATCGATTATACCTTCCCTATACTTCCATTTAATTATAGATAAATCTTCTCTACCACTACCAGATCCATGAAGCACCTTATAAGTCTTACTAACTACACCATAGAAGGCAAGTCTACATACAGATGATGTATTATATTCTTTATCAAGTCTAGATGCAATAAATACACTACCCTTACAGGCAAGAATAGGACGCTCCAATTCAATGAGAGCATAATACTGTTCTGTACTACTATCATTAAGGTTATCACCATAACCATCATCATTATCATGATGATTATGATGGTGATGATCTTCTTGTGATATGAATAATAATTCATCTTGATAGACATAGTCACCAGTATTAGATGTAGACATAGCCATATATTCATCATTACCAAGTAGAGCACCTCCTCCTATTGTAGTATTAAGTGTAGCTTCATCATCATAGGCCATCATAGTATTAGACGACGACTTGCTATCTCTTACTCTCATTGTTGATGTAGATGTTGATGATGTATTATCCTCCTCCTCCTTCTTCATAAAGATGACATTCGCCATCACAGTTGAATGACCACAGGTGATATGTATCCTGCTTTTACTCTTGATACTATCTTTGAAATATCTATGGAATATATATATCAAATAAATATAAGAGTAATAATAATAATACCTAATCTTATCAACTGCTGCAAAGAGAGCCATTACTGAGTGATAATGATATTCTTCAGTATTATTATCAATACTATCATCCTTAGATGATGTTGTGATAATACCCCTTTCCAAGTTATTTGGACTAACACCTGGTATGCATAATGCACATCTGAATAATAATAATCAGCATCTCTATCTTCTTGCTATTATTACCTATCACCAGCTTCCGCAACTTTAACGTTCTTTTTGAACATCTGAATGCTTTTAACAATAACCTGTAGTATAACCATTATAATGCTACTTATAATAATAATAAATGCTTAACAGTATTGTTATTATTAGACTTCCCTCCTGATGATGATGATACTATCATTTTACCACTTGATGAATCCATTATATTCACCTCTTGCCCAACTCTTACCGTACCTAATAACATTATTACTCCAACACCAATATAGTGATATAATACTACCATTGATAAGAGTACCAGTGAATATGGTACCAGCCCCTTTTACTGCAAAACAATGATCAAATGAGAATGTAAGATGGTTATTAGGTCGCCTTGCTGCATTATTGTAACTACTTCCATCACCAACCAATGTTCTTGGCTTGTTGTTGTTGTTGTTGTTCGATTGTAACCTTCTTGGGAGGTCTATATTCCTCAATATCATATCCTTTATAATATTAGGACTATATATGTCATCATCAATCATAGTAGTAGATACAGCTACCGTAGGTACTGATGACGTAAACCTAGAGCAGCATTCGATTTACTATAAGACTACTATCACAAAATCCTCTTTACGATATCACCTTGTTTTTGATAAAGTCTTCCTTAATCTATTAATTATGATATCAACTTTCTTCTTACGTTGTTGTGGAGGTATAAGATCAACTTTATTAATAACAATCATTAATTGTGGTGCTAATATCTCAGCTATAACTAAGCATTCAGCAGTCTGAGTCTGTATACCTTTAGTAATATCAATAACCAACATACATATGTCGATTATCTGGGCACCACCTATAATAGTCCTAATAAGAATTATCATCATACAACAACAACCACCATCCATCTCCTTCTTCCTCACTATTATTATTACTTTATTAAAGATGCATGCCCTGGACAGTCAACAAGGCAGAACTGTATACTATCATAACCTTTATTTATGAATGACGATGGTAATGATGATGATGATACTACCTAATAATGAGTACTCACTTATATTACTAAGAGATAGTAGCATATCACATGATTGTTATGATGATGATGTTCATCATCATCTTCAGTAGTAGTAGAAGGAAGTGTGAATGAGGAGAAACCAAGATCAATAGTTATACCCCTCTCAACCGATTGTGGATTCCTATCCAATGATGCTGTACTAGCAACCTACACAAGTAATATGATAATGATGATATTGACCTTGTTAATAGGAATATTATTACTTGTGTTAATGCTTTACATAATGATGTCTTACCACAATCAACATGTCCCAATACACCAATATTCACACTACAAGTAGTTCTCATATTATAACTAATTACAGTCATGTGATGATGATGTTAAGCTAATACTAATAACTATCAACACAATAATAATTCAGGTTACTTGGCGATAGAGGGATACTATTATTATCATCTGTTATTATTGACGGCGATAACAACATCAATACATCATCATCATCATTCCTCACTTAAGAGCCTTACCACCTCTAAGGAGACCAGTTCTTCTGGCAGCAATAAGACCAACCTTCTGACCAGCAGGAGCACCACGAGGTACAGTAGTAGGATGACCAACATGCTGATGGTTTCCACCACCATGAGGATGTTCAACAGGGTTCATAGCAACACCTCTAACCTTAGGCCAGCAATTCCTCTTAACACGATACTTATGGAAGTTATTACCAGCCTTAAGAACAGGTTTATCAAGACGCCCACCACCAGCAATAATACCAATCATAGCACGACATTGACTACTAACAGTCTTACGGGCACCAGATGGTAGACGAATACGAGTCTTACTACCATCATCAGAATGTCCAACAACAATACCAGAAGCACCACCAGTAGTAGCACAAGTACCACGATCACCAATCTTCTCCTCAATGTTGGAAATAACTGTACCCTCAGGCATCTTGCCAAGAGGTAATACATTACCAATAGATAGATTAGCATTCTTACCAAAGTATACGAACTGACCAGTATGCATACCCTCAGGAGCCACAGTTAGGATCTTTTGTAGGCCGAACTTATAAGGGTTACGGAAAGCAATACGTGCCATAGGAGCACCACGACCAGGATCATGAATAATCTCCTGTACTAGACCCTTGATATATCCATGACGCTAAAATAGGATAATACATTATTATTGATTATGATGATGCGGATAGTATTAGTATTATTACCTCAGCATAATCTACAGCACGAAGCTTAGAAGCTCCTTTACGATGCTTAGTGACAGCCTTGAAGATTCCTCCACGTCCCTTACGTTGTCCACGAATAACGCGTCCCATTAGTTGGGTGGGTTAATAACGAAGATGATTATAATACCCTACCTATACAATGATGACCTATCTACCTTCCCAACATAGTCCATAATAATGGTTCATGAGGGCGTACTCAAAAGCGTGATCGATTATGAATATGCATGCATAATGCACGAACAACGCATTAATGTGGCGCCGGCCATTCGATTTGCCCTGTGCGGTTCTGGAATCGTTTCTGATGAAAATCTATTTTGAAAATCATTTCCGACTTGGCGTTCAGTAGACACGATTTCGAAATGTCAGAAACGATTTCAGAATTGGGAAACGCGGAAAAGGACATCAGCAAGGATCGTACAACCGGCCACGGCAAAACTGCTCATTGACGCATTTTCATTCCGAGTTCGAGTACCCTAAGTTTAATTGATCAAAGATGGAGCAAGTTCTCCGATGAGAGGCATAAAGCGCTATTATGACCGGTATTGATATCCTGTATAGTATATACGTCAATGTTATACGTATCGTCTTGGTCTAGTTGTCAGTACGTTGTACTTGTGTGCATATCGCTCAAGTTCGATTCGAGGACATATTATTATTATACTGTCTTTGAGAATGTTTTTGCCTCGTACCCTAATGAGCATGTGACGAGCTGTGGGAGCTTTAAGCCAAATATCAATCGTACATTGCAAGAAGGCGAAGAATGGGTAGGATAAAACCCGATTGATGAAGGTCGACCATCGTACATTACAGGACTCCTCGCAGAATTGGCAATTCATTTTATTCCAAATCCCGTGGCGCGTGAAATTGGATCCAGAATCTCGATTTATTAAATATCCCACTCCCGCCCCCCGTTCAATAGACAAGGCTGTGTGCGATGCTGGAAACGATTCTCAAAATCGATTTTCGGAATCGTTCCTGAGGTCGTGTTCAATAAACACGATTTTGAAAGTTGAAAATCGATCTCGGAAGCGATTCCAGAGTCAATTCCGACTCGCGTTCAGTAGACACGATTTTTAAAATCGATTCCAGAATGGACAAATAAAATACGTGAGAAATTGGGCTCCCCGGGATGGAACCTGAGGCCATACCTCGACTTCCTCGACTACCCCTGAAATCCGAAATATACCTCGACTAGGATTCGAACCTGAGACACCCGGCTCACATTCTACTGACTTATCTTACTGCGCTAGATTGACTACTTTTCATAATAGTAGTTAATAACTAGTAGTTACTGTTGAGCGGTCCACCTATGAACGAATACCAGTACTTGTCAGTAGGCTGTTTACCTACTCACCCGTTACTAACGGGCCGTTAGTAAGTGGTACCTGGTTGCCCAACCTCAGCACTGCCGTCCTCATTCGACCACCTCCAATCCTCTAGAGTAACTCTAGAGGATTGGAGGTGGTCGTGGTCGACTCTAGGGTCACATCCCGGGATCGAACCTCCGACCTCGCGGTTACTAGCCCAACTCGCAAACTCTCTCGAGTCTGTTTGGCGACAAACGTCATGTCCCTACTGGGTATGACCTCTTCTCTTGCTGTATCGCTCCTCATAACCAGTTCGGGACTGGCAACTCTCCAAGGAGAGTTGTTTCTTCTGGACTCCACACGTTTCTCTTCTCGGTGCTCTTCTCTATGAAGCCTCTGTCACGCGCCATGAAATTTTCAGAACCACTCCGAATGGTTCTGGAATCTGCGATTCTGGAAACGCTCTCAGGATCGCACAGCTCCTTTGAACGCGCTAAGAACCACTTCTGGAAACGTTTCTGAGATCGTTTCTAGAGCTGGTTCTAGGAACAGAAAATCCCAGAATCGTTTCTAGAAACGCTTCTCAAATTTAAAATCGATCTATTGAACAGGCAGCCGGTCGCGTGGGTCTGGTTAC